TGTGTAGGTGGTAATTGCAAAAGCTGACGTGGCACAGTTGAAAGTGTTGTACGTGAATTGCAGGTGTATGGAAGATAATTGCAAAAGCTGATGTGGCACAATTGAAAGTGTAAATGGATTGCAGGGATGTGGATGGTCTAAGTACCATATTTACATGAAAAAGATATGTTTGGTCTTCCCAAGGTTGTTTGACACTTTGTTTGTTTCCTATTTTGAACCCAAATTCAAATTCAAAGTTTTTATTTCTCTTGAACTAAACTGAAATTTAAAGCAACAATAGCAGAAAGGGTTTCATATTCTGCATGCATCACAACCCAACCCTCCAACTTTATATGGGTTTAGAAACTCAACATGTGTTCAATTATTTTTTCAATCGATCTTGCTAATACACCATATTAACCTTCAACTTTATATATTAGTTGACTTGTAAAATAACCACATAAACTCATGATTCAAGGCTAAACTAATGTTTCAAAATTGTGATTCACCCGCGTTGCATCGCGCGGGTACACCACTAGTGTGTGTGTGTGTGTATATATATATATATATATCATCAATATAATAATTAGAATATTAATGATGGTAAATAACATTTATTGATTAGTATTTAAAATATTTATTTATTGATTTGTACTTTGAAATTTGTACTAATACATGTTTAAGTCCCAAAATACATATCCACAATTTTATAAATGTGTAACCATTACATTTTTTAACTAACTAAATGACAATTCTATCATTCATAATTGAGAGATTAATGAATTTTATATCTCATAATTAAGAGTAGAGTTGGAAAGTAAACATTATTTTTTAGAAGTAGACACTTACTTTAAGACAAACTAAAATAGAAACGAGAACACTTATTTTGGAAGGAGAGAGTATTTGTTTTTGTTATTTGTAGGCATCATTCGTCTTATATAAATTAATTATTCTCTATAGTAATTTATATGTATTAATGATCGGTTAATATCTTTTCATATTATTTATAAACTAAGTTTTTATTTACCACATTTTTTGTACATATAATTAGTTACGTGCAATTTAGACATACATTTATTTATTTCATAATAAAAATGGGCAGATGTGTTATCCTCTTAAAAAAATAAACTTTATCATCAATTAGACAAATAATACATAAATTTTACAGCCCCATCGTTATTATTACACATTTTATTTAATTTTATAACTTTATTCCTAAAGAAATCTCTCTCTCTCTCTCTCTCTCTCTCTCTCTATATATATATATATATATATATTAAAATTTCACTAATTAGATTTTATTAACTTTTTCGAATTATTGAATATTATTTGTTGATGATTCTATTAACTAACATATATTTATATAGACAATCTTCGAATCATTACCCAAATATCATGCAATGCACGGTTCCGACACCATTTTGTAATGTATAGTTGATACCATTATATATATTTACACAACTTACTCAAATGGATTTTTTTTTTTGGAAAAAAACAAAGGAAAACATTTAATACAAATCATTTAATTGATATAAATACTACATTAATTGCATCATAGAAAAAAAAAAAAATATATATATATATATATATATATATAGAGGAGCGTTCAAATAAAAACTTGACCCATTTGTATAAATCGTGTAAACCAATCTCATTTATTTATTTTTTTGATCAATGGCTAAGATTACATTACTTTATTTTAGGAAATTAAAAATTAAAAAATAATTAATATTTATTTTATTTCATCAATAAGGGTAGAATCGGTAAACAAATTTAATTCATAGTATTTTTTATTCAAGGTAACCATATCAGGTAAATTATATTATTAATGAAATTGATTCACTTTGTGAAGTAATGATATTGAATCTCATCCATTTTTTGCAATGATGAATCGATTTTGTCTATGCACCTGTTTCATTTACCATTTCATCAACTATTTTATTAACTATTTTACATGAATCTATTTCA